AGGAGAGCTGGGAAATGTATTGTTCTGGTCTCATTTCAGCATGATCAATGCTTTGGCTTCGAGGGAAGGACATGGAGCCTAAAAATAACTGGGAGGTAGAGCCCAGGGCGCGGAGGATGAGCGGTAGCTGGCCTGGGAACGTGTGCAGAAATCACCACTGGAAAATGCCTGCAGGCTCATGAGCCAATTAGCTGGTGCCAGGGCGGAGAGAGGAGGGACGGGCAGAAGGCCAACTTCTGCAGGTTCCATACAAGGTGGAGGGCCCGCTGCTTAGGAGGTGGCTGAGCCCAGCCGGAACTGGGAACAGGAGCACCTGACACCTTGGGCTCGGAGAGCCCCTGTAACATCATCTCTTTCTCCCCAGGTACCTGCTCACCCCCTCAGGGCTCCCAGGCTCACTGAGATCCTTCAGAGAAGGGATCCCCACGACTGGTTCTGGGTCTCAAGGGGGATGTAATTTCCCAGGAAAACACAAACTATAAACCGAGAACTCCCAAGTCCTTCTGCCCTGCCAGGGCAGCTATAAATCTCTCCTCTCCTCTTTCATGCCTTCCCTCAGGCTTTAATGAGGTATTGATCTATTGTCAGATAACTCCCCCCCCTCCCCCCCTCCCCCCCTCCCCCCCCCTCCTGCATAGCCACAGGGTCAACCATACAGAACAGGGAGGAAAAATCTCAGGGTGGCAAACAGACAGGCAGCAGGATCTGCATGACAAAGGATTCCCACGCTCTCCTGCCGGGCTGGCTGACAAGGCTGCATTGCAGGGCGGCGAGGGCTGGCTGTCCGAGCCACCGGCTCTTCAGCTTGCTCCTCATTAATTACCGCGGGGACAGAGAGAGCCTCCCCGGGCTGGCTGGCCTCTTCCCTCAGCACAAGTCCCGCCCGCTCCTGCTCCCTCGGCCTCCCCAGTGTGGTCTATCAGGGACAGAGACATCAGCAGGAGGGCCCCAGGCAGCCCCTCACTGACCTTTCCCTCACCCTACCCGTGGATCAGAGTCCTGACCCCAGGGCCAGGGGTCATCCTGAGATGGTGGAAGGAGCATGGAGTGGGGGTGTGGCTGGCTGACTGTGACTTGGACACAGCCCCGGAATCCTTTGGGCTTCATTTTTCACCTCACAAATATGTGTTGAAATGAGGAGGTCTCGGGCTTTCCAACTTTTGAGCAGTGAAAACCCTTTTTTTTCAAAGGAAACCTTACCCACATCCTACACCAAGGAGCAGAGCTCAGATGGCAGCTGAAGGGGGGTGGGGCCTGAGGAGCAAAGTTTGCCGCCCACTGGAGGGGCCTTAAAGGTTCCTTTCAGATGAGAAATTCAGTAATTTGAGTCTCAGACCCTGGTTCTAGTGTACTTTTAAATATATATATATATATATATATATATATATATATATATATATATTTTTTTTTTTTTTTTTAATTTTTTAATTTTTTATTTTTAAAATTAATTTCAGAGGAAGGAAGAGAGGAAGAGGGAGACAGGGAGGGGAAAGGGGGAGAGAGAGAGGGAGGGAGGGAGGGAGGGAGGGAGGGAGGGAGGGAGGGAGAGAGAGAGAGAGAGAGAGAGAGAGAGAGATATCGATGAGAGAGAATCACTGATGAGCTGCCCCCCCTGCACATCCCACACTGGGGATCGAGCCCACAACCCGGGCATGTGCCCTGACCAGGAATCAAACCATGAGCTCCTGGTTCATAGGCTGCTGCTCAACCACTGAGCCACACCAACTGGGAGGTTCTAGCATCTTGAAGGTAACAATCTGGACCCACCCTCCCTCCCTTTGTGGCACTGACTTTCCTGCAGGGACTGTGATTAGCCCTGGACAGAAAGGACTGGGAGAGACCAAATTCAAACAGGGACACACCTGCATATCAGCACAGAACCAGAGCCACCTCAGAGCAGGAAGCCTGGGCAAGGCGGGGTTCCACCAAGGAACACGTGGTTCAATAAGGCCAGTATTAATTCCATGGAGGTCATTAATTACACGGGGTTACGGGATGGGGAGAGTGTGGCAAGCCACACCTTGGTACAGCAGCAGACAAAAGTCTAGTCGGGGCTGTGAATTCCGCCCTTCCCAACCCCCCAAATTCTGGGTCCATGCCAGTACACAGATAAGTTGGTGACTCTGCCATAATGCACAGCTTGAATTATATTAGCAAGGAAAATTTAAAGCAGGTGTTCTCCCACTTCTCCCTTGGCCCTAAAAGAATCCAAATAAAAATGGGCAGAATACCTCCCTTTAAATAATGTAACCTTATTTATGTATGTCCTCTTTCATTTATTCCACAAGTATTAGTTGCTTAATATGTGCCAATCCCTGTGTTGGGCTCGGGGGATGCACACGTGATTTTATAATCTATATAATCTATAATAAAAGCTTGGTGGAACATTGGAGATATTAGTTTCTTTCTTTTTTTTTTTTAATATACTTTATTGATTTTCTTTACAGAGAGGAAGGGAGAGGGATAGAGAGTTAGAAACATCAATGAGAGAGGAACCTTGATCAGCTGCCTCCTGCATGCGCCCTACTGGGGATGTGCCTACAACCAAGGTACATGCCCTTGACCAGAATCGAACCTGGGACCCTTCAGTCCACAGGCCGATGCTCTATCCACTGAACCAAACAGGTTAGGGCAAGGAGATACTAGGTTCTAAAGTGTTTAAAGGGTTGGCCATTTAATTGTTAACCAGAGTGAAATACACATGGGCCTCCAGCACTGGCAGGAAGCTCTGGGCAGAGAAGAATCTACCCCAGGTTCTTAGCTTAGCAAATTGCACAAGTCACTCCACGGTTCTGAAGTGCCTGCCACAAGTGGGTGGGAGATACAGGGCCCCCCCTCTGGATGGTTGTGATGGATACAGCGAGGAGCACGTGTGAACCCTTCGGCGCATGCCCGTGGTACCGGACGTGCTCAGCAGAGGTAAGCTCTCCTTGTAACAGACTGGGCCGGCCGTGGATTTGGGATGCGTTCATTGGGCAGGAAAGAAAGAGCAGGGCCCGAGGTCTATGAAGACCTCCTGTGGATCCTGACAACTAAATTATCGGCACAAAGAAGGCCTGCCTTGTGGTTCTTGTAAGATGACCCTGGTTTTGAGCACAGCTTTTGGGGTTAGACCACGTGGGTGGGGGGGGAGAGCCCAGCTCCGCCACTGCCTACTGTGTCTTCCTGGGTAAGTCACTTAGGCTTCCTAAGCCTCGGTTTACGGGTCCATAACAGGCGAAGAGTCACAGTACCTGCCTCACGGAGCTTCTGTGAGGATTGAATAAAATATGGCCTGTGGGGCAGGCACCTGATTTACTGGCTGTCCCGTCGGGGTCTAGCTGTCTGTGAATGGGTCGCCTTTCTGAGCGGAGAGGAAGGGAGGGGTGCAGGCAGATCAGTCAACTCCGTCTAGGAGATAAATAGCATGACGTGCTGTGACGGGAGTGCCCTTGAGCCTGAGCGATGACTCACACAGTGCAGCGCACATCACCGCTTGGTGACAGCCCCACATCCCCCGTAGTTAGCCCTGCGAGCTCCCCCTCTGTCTGCGCACCCTCCCGCTCTGCACTGTCTCCCCGCTGTGCGTCGTCTGATCTGGGTGGGGCCTGAGTCATCTGGAACCTTATTTCTGTCTTCTGGGTTACTGGCTCTCCCATCTCCTCGACTCCTGGCTGCAAGTGTCTGAGTGTCTTTCCTGTTCCTCACCATTAACCATCTGGGTCTCTGAGCATTAGGTCTGGAAAGTGTGGCTATAAATCCCCAGATGTCAAGCGACTGGGGGCGGGAGTGGGGGGGGGGTGGTGTGCGTGGGTGGCTGAGTGAGTCTAGCACACTGAGATGCTCATTAGACCTTCGCACAAGGATGTGGGAGGTGCCGGATTCTGGGACAAGGGGGCGTGGGTGCTGTCCAAGGTACTCACGCTTTAACCTTAGCCCGCCATCCAGGCTGAGGGTTCAGGAACCAGCAGACCGGCCCAGCCCGGCAGGCGTGAGACCCTTCCCCCTTCGATGCCTGAAGCCACTTGGGTTATTCCCGGGGTCCCTGCCTGCCTGTTGTTTACAAGGCTGACGGTGCCCCGCTCTCCTGGTGACAAGCTTAGTGCTCCTCAGGAAGGATTAAGGTCTTACTTAAACACACACACACTCACAAAGCTCCCTTGGGCTCAGCTGTCAAGGTGAAGAGCTGAGGCAGCAAACCTTGTTATAAAAAATCCGGCAATGGAGTTGGAAACATCACAGGAGAGATTCCTCTGTTCGGAGACCTGGCTGGTGCAGACTCTTCCTGCACAGCCTGCTCTGCTCTCCCCAGCTTACCCCGGCCCCCCTTGCCCCTCACCGCGGAGGGAAGGGGGCGTTCAGGCTGCCCTGTGCTCAAGGCCATGATCACCTGCCACGTGAGCCAAGTCAGCTGGGGCCCAGACTCCTCTGGCTGGGCTGGCACGGATACTTATCCCCTTTCAGGCCAGATTGACTCTCCTGTCAGTGGTGAGTCAATCAAAGGGACAGTGGCCAGCTGGGCAGAGGCAAGATCTCCCTTTGGGGACAGGGATTGGCCTGGCCAGGGAGGCACTTGGCTTCCCGCAGCCTTAGATGCCCCTCCAGGGATCTCACTGTGTGTGCCCTGGCACAATTTATGTAATGCTGTCACTCCATGTGTCACCTCGCTCCACCATCCTAACGCCCTGCAGGCAGATCTTATTAGTTCACGGTTAATGCTTAATGGGGCCAGAGAGGTGAAGGAATGTCTCCAAGCTCACACAGCTGCAACACGGTGCTCCACATCCTGTGCTCTCCTCTCCTTTGCCATCACATGCCTCCTTGTCTGGGAGGCAGTCCCCTTTCCAGATTCCCCAAGGAAGTGAGGGGGATTTGCCTGGAGAACAAGCCTAATAGTCAGGAGCTTTGGTGATGAGAGTCCTGGGCCAACTGAGAACCTGGGGCTTGCCTGGCCCCATGGGGAGTCAGTCCCAGCTGCCCTGGGGACGTTTATCCTATAGACAGAGGGCCCCCCTGCCTACCTGCCACCACACCAGCCACGTAGACCAGCCCGATGCGGGTCGCTCCATGCACCATCTCCAAGGGCACCCCCACCAGGAGCTGCAGCACCACATTGAGGCCCAGGTGTTCTATTCTGTATGGAGAGACCACACGCCATTCATGAATCCAGTCATCCATCCGTTTATTTGATAAACACCGTGTTGCCAAGGTGCTGGGGGTCCAGTAGTGATCAAGACCCTCTGCCTTTGAGGAACTCATGGTCTGGGACAGTGTGGGCAGGAATCACAAGAGAGACAGATCGTCTTGCAAAGAGCATTCCTTCCACACCTTTCCCGCCACCAGAGACGAGAACACGTGCAGGGCCTGGGCGGTAACTGTCCATGTCTGCTCTGGCCACAGTGAAAGGCTGTGGTCAAGACCCAGCAACTCCGTTGGCTGACACGTGAAAAGCCAAGGCTCAGAGAAGGGCACTGACCAGCTTAGGGTCAGGCTGGTAGCACAACCAAGATCTGTGATGTGCAGGCCCTGCTCCATTCACCAGGTCCCAAGGGCAGCTGGCTTGCTATTGTATAATATCTGTAAGAGCTACTGATATTTAAAGAGACAGATGTGGCCCGGCCAGCATGGTTCAGTGATTGAGCGTCGACTTATGAACCAGGAGGTCACAGTTCGATTCCCAGTCAGGGCACATGCCTGGGTTTCGGGCTCGATCCCCAGTGTGGGGCAGGCAGGAGACAGCCGATCAATGATTCTCTCTCATTATTGATGTTTCTCTCTCTTCCTCTTCCTTCCTCTCTGAAATCAATAAAAATACATTAAAAAATTTATTGATTTTTTACAGAGAGGAAGGGAGAGGGATAGAGAGTTAGAAACATCGATGAGATGAGAGAGAAACATCGATCAGCTGCCTCCTGTACACCTCTTACTGCAACCAAGGTACATGCCTTTGACTGGAATTGAACCTGGGACCCTTGAGTCTGCAGGCAGATGCTCTATCCACTGAGCCAAACCAGTTAGGGCAATAAAAATATATTAAAAAAAAATAAAAATAGATGTTTTCAAAACAAGTGCCAGTGTTAGAGATGCGTCTCAGAGCTTACTCATTCAGTTGTCACTTCACATCTCACGGGTGAGGCCTCTCCCTCCTGGTGTGCAGGGACCCATTCTGCCTGAAACTCTCAGGGTTGGGGTTTCTTGCCCTGAGAAGGCCTTCTTTTCTTACGCTATCATGTGACCAGATCTTGTTGCTAAATGGTGTGTAGCTGAGTGCATGTTACTAGAAAATATCGTAGCATTACTATTATTACATTGGTGTGTGCTTTCAAGTTTACAAAGCACTTTCACATCCATTATCTCATATAAACTGAGCAGCTGGACAGCTCCCTGGGGAAGCGTAGGTTATAGGGTAACAGAGCATGTAACCAGGGGTCTGGATGCTGGCCTGGCAGGCAGGGCTCGGGTACCTGCTGATCCAGGAGAGTGCCTGTGAGGTCGCACATGACTCAGGTCAGGCTCTGTCCCCAATTCCCACCATCCCTGCAATCCTCTGGCTCCCCACCCCAACACCCCGACTGTGCCAGCCGAAGGATCCTAGATTAGAAATGCCAGAAACATTTACTGAAAAGGAGCTGGGTGGTGGCCTCAGACTCATAGGGAGACCTCAGAGGTTTTCTACTCTCGTCTCCTTTGTTTATAGCCTAGAACTTGAGACTAGAAGAGGCTAGGTGAGGGGAAATCACAGCTCCTGCCTCCCAATTCAACCTCCTTCTTCTCAACCACAGTGATTTCTTTTTTAAAAAGTGGAGAGATGCCAAAACCGGTTTGGCTCAGTGAATAGAGCGTCGGCCTGCGGACTGAAAGGTCCCAGGTTCAATTCTGGTCAAAGGCATGTACTTTGCTTACGGGCACATCCTCCCTTCCTCTCTGTAAAAAAATCAATAAAATATATATTTTTAAAAAGTGGAGAGAGGAAGGGAGGGAGAGAGAGAGAGAGCATCAATGATAAGAAAGTCATTGATCTGCTCCTGAATGCCCCACACTGGGAATCAAGCCTGCAACCCGGGCATGTACCCTGACCAAGAATCAAACAGTTGACCTTCTGGTTCATAGGTCAAGGCTCAACTCCTGAGCCATGCCAGCCAGACTCAACCACGGCGACTTCTGAATTCACTGGCCTAGAGTCCCTGAATAGTGTGTCACCCTGCGGGCTTTCCCTAGATGCTAGCCAGCTCTTCCTATCTCCTGTCTACTGTGGCCCCAGCCAGGAGCCCCTCCCTCAAGGTCACAGATCTGGAGAATCCTCCCAGGGCTCTTCCTGTCAGGCGAAGCTCCAGGAGAAGCAATGGCCAGAGAAAGGCTCGAGGCCACCCCTGTGCCTCCGGGGAGAGCATCTCTGCTCTGGCCACTCTGGGAGGCAAAGAATGGACAAGGAGGCCTAGAGACATTGTCCATTCTCCCTCCTTACCTCAGGGATCAGGGAAGGCCAGAGGGAGGTCCTGCAAATAAGGCAGAGAGTCTCAATCCATGTGCACCTGCGGGCTTGGGCATCCTGGCCAGGGAAGTTCCTGCTTCCTGTTGCCTCCTAATCTTGACTGAGAAGACTGATACATGACACGCCTCCCTCCCTCTGCTCATTAGCCCTGTGAGATCAAAGCCTGGGACAGCAGGCAAGGCAAACAGCCCGGGGCACAGTCCCCTCTGGCTCAGCATGGAGGCATCCACCAGAACCATCAGAATGTCTCCTCACCCAAGCCCTCTCCAGCAGGTGCATCCAATTAGAGGTTGGCGTTTGTGCCATTTATAGGCTCAACAGGAAGGGAGGCTCACAGCGGGGCTCTCTCTTGGCCACTATAGGTCTTTCTGCCAAGGAATCAGCATGATGGCACCTCCGAGGGCCAGAGTGATCCTCTTCCCATGTCCCACCCCAGGGACAGGCACTCCCAGGGCTGCCCCAGACTAACAGCGAGCCCCTGTGCTTCTCCCCTGGAGAGGCTGTAGAAGACACCACTGAGGTTGGGGGTCCAGGGACTCCGCTTTTCCAACTCAGCACTTTTACTACGTAAAAATGGTCTCCAGCCAAGGCAGGGCTTTTCAAAGGAATTGGGCCTGGGTAGTCACCTGGCCTGATCCTGGGTAAGAGGCACTGGTGAGAACTGACTGCACCCCAGCCCTAAACAAGGCCGCAAGGCCCTGAAAACAGAACAGTAAGTATTGCCAGATTCCTCCAGAAGACCCTCACCATGTACGGAGAGCACTTTGGGAAGAAGGCAGCTTCAAGAAATCTGACCTTTATTTCACTGCTGGGGGCACTCACATACAACAGTTTGTGGACAATGGACTTGGTAGCTGACCGTATTTCCCTCTTTGCTTTGGCCACTGGGAAGCTCAGAAGTTTATAACCTACCTCTAGCAAGTACACAGATTCACATGCTTATGGATGTTTGTGCTGATTTCACTGTGGGGTGTGAGCATTTTACTCCCTTTATTTTCCCTTTCCCAAACACTCCCAATAACTCATATTTTGGTATGAGATGAGTTTCAAGAAGTCACCTCAAATCCTGTTTCCAGGGAGACAAACTAAAAAAATATATATATTTCCATCCATGCTGTTGGGGCTACTTGTTTTTTCATAGGGACTTTTTTTTTTTTTTTTTTTTTAATCTTTGGCTCACATTTATTTTCCGTGGTATACATTTAAAAAATATTTAAAAAAATATTTTATTGATTTTTTTTTTTTTTTTTTTTGCAGAGAGGGATAAAGAGTAAGAAACATCCACCAACTGCCTCCTGCACACCCCCTACTGGGGATGTACCCACAACCAAGGTATGTGCCCTTGACCAGAATCGAACCTGGGACCTTTCGGTCCAAAGGCCAACGCTCTAGCCACTGAGCCAAACCGGTTAGGGCTCCACAGGGACTCTTGGTAGAGGGGAAGAAGACAGGCACTCACCCCGCGTGCATGAAGATGTACGTCAGGTAGCGCCACGCCTGGGCTCGGAGCTGCGGGTGGTACACCAGTGCGTTCTGCAGGTACCGTGGGTGGGTCACCTGCAGCACAAACTGATCCAGCGACACTCCATTGTAGAGGAAGAAGGCCACCTGGGTGAAAGCACAGGACGGAAGGGCCCATTACTAAGTACAAAACTGCCAGGAACCCCCTGTGCTAACACCCGGAATCCTTGCTGGAAGTTGTCGTCTTTCCTTCTCAGAGAACGAGGAGGGCCAGTGCTCAGCCTCATCTTCGCCCATCGCTACCCCTCTGTTGGGTTATTTTGCGTTAGCTAGTCACAACATGGTCATATGATCTGTGCCCACACTTCCTTGGGGCTAAGTAGGAAGGGTTTGGAGGATTTTAAACTTTAACCCCAATAAAAGAACATACCCATTTAGGGGATAAGGCAATGCCACATAAGTTGATTTAAAAAAACACACACAACAACCTATGGTAAAATACACAGAAATACATGCTATCATCTAAATCAGTTGTAAGTGTGCAACTCGGTGGCATAAAGTTCATTTAAATTGTTAGGCAACCATCACCACCACAGAAGTCTTTTCACTTGCAACACCGAAACTCTATAGCCATGCAACGTTAGCTTTCCATTCTCCTTCCCCATCTCTGGCAACCACCATTGTACTTTCTGTCTCTATGACTTCGGCTACTCTAGGTAACTCGCCTTCTGCTTATTTCACTTAGTATAATGTCACCAAGGTTCATCCATGTTGTTGATTAGGCCAAAATGTCCTTCCTTTTCTAAGCATGAATAACATTCCCATTGTATGTATAAGCCACGTTTTGTTTACCATTCATCTGTTTGTTTGTTTTTTCTCTCTTATTTTATTGATTTTTTTACAGAGAGGAAGAGAGAGGGATAGAGAGTCAGAAACACCGATGAGAGAGAATCATCGATCAGCTGCCTCCTGCACACCCCCCACTGCGGATGTGCCCGCAACCAAGGTACATGCCCTTGACCAGAATCGAACCCGGGGCCCTTCAGTCCGCAGGCCGACACTCTATCCACTGAGCCAAACCGGTTTCGGCACCATTCATCTGTTGATGAACATTTGGGTTGCTTCACTGCTGTGAATAATGCTGTTATGATCATGGGTGTACAAATATCTCCTTGAGTCCCTGCTTTCAATTTATTTTGGGTATATGCACAGAAGTGGAATTGCTGGATCATGTGGTAATTCTACGTTTAATTTTCTGAGTAATCGCCATACTATGTCCCATAGAGCTGCACCATTTTCTACTTCCGCCAACAGGGCACAAGGGTCCCAATCTCTCTGCATCCTCACCACCACCCCACATAAGCAGACTATGCAAATGACTAACGCACACTAATTTAAGCCCTGAAAGGTAAACTACTTTTTTTCTGGAACTCTTTCTAAAATGCATCATTCATGTCCCTAGGTTCTTAATCAGGTATGTGCATAATCTCTCAGAGATGCCTCAGGTACTGAGCTGGGCACCGGGAGTGATGTCTTCTCCAGCAATCGATGGGGCTTCCCTCCTACAACGAAATGGCCCCAAATTCTTGTGTTTGAAGCTCAGGTCTAGACCTAGCCGGTTTTGCTCAGTGGATAGAGTGTCAGCCTGCAGACCAAAGGGTCCTGGGTTTGATTCCTCACTGGCCCTGGTTGGGGCTCATGCAGGAGATCAATCGATGTCCCTCACATTGATGTTTCTCTCTGTCTTTCCCTCTCTCTTCCACTCTCCCTAAAAATAGATGGACAAATATTCTCAGGTGAGGATTAACAAAAAACAAATGAACAACACCCCCTCAGGTTTCCTTTTAAATTGATTTCAGAGAGAGAAAGGGAGACAGAGAGAGGAATAGAAACATCAATGTGAGAGAATCATTGATCAGCTGCCTCCTGCACACCCCTTATTATGGATTGAGCCCACAACCTGGGGATGTGCCCTTGACTGGAATGGAACCTGGGACCCTTCAGTCCCCAGGCTGACCCTCTATCCACTGAGCCAAACCAGCCAGGTCAGGCCCTTACTTTTTATTGCTGGTTAATAGTGGGTCCCTGCTATTTTCTCTATTATGGAATCAGAAAGCTGGGTATCTATTATAGAACCGTATTTTAAAAACAAAAAGCCTTGGGCTTTTGTACAAGGACTTTGAAACAGTTATTTCAACATTTTCTTCTAGGATGGTGGTTTGAGTTTACATAGCTGAGGCTTATGGAAATTTGAAACCAATCTGGACCCAAAATCTGGCTTCTCTGGATAACCTTGGACAGACGACTTGAATTTTCTTGTTCTCGATGTCCTGACCTGGAAATGGGAATAGGAATGCCTACACTTGCAGGATAGTGATGAGCTAAAATACAGGGGGCCCCGCCGGGTGCCTGGCATGGGATTCGGGAAGGCAGCCGTAATTAGCATTGGGTTAGGGCTTCCTGGGTGGAGCCTGGACTGGCTTGGGCTGGATTCCCCTGGGCTCTCTGGGGAGCCTTTCCGTCCACCTAACAGGATGCGGGTGGCCTGGCAACAAATATAGCTTCCAAGCCAGTTCGTTATTATTGCTCCTCAAATAGAAGTTAATAAATAGACCAACACCGTAAGCATTTGGAAGAGTCCAAGCATATCTCAGAAAAATTGCCATTTCAACGTGAACTTGGAAGAAGCCTTGGGCCTGCAGACCAGCTATTCTCATTCAGCGGAAAAAAAAAGAATGCCATGAAGCTTAACAACCCTGCCGTCTGATCAGGAACTTTGCAAGAACATATGCAGGGGTGGTAATGAGGCCCGTGGCTCTGGGAGAGAAACCTGGGAAGGTTATAAAACGCCCAGGGGGAGCCGAGCATCCGTTTAGGGGTGGAGGGGCCCACGGGTTCTTAGGCGGAACGGCCCACAGAATGCAGAGCTCCTCACGCGTGGGCCCTGGTTCAGAAAGGGGTACCACTGGATTCTGTTGATATTGAAGCAGGAGACTCTTAGAATAACAATGGGTCTGGATGATTCCCTGAGGGGAGAATGTTCTTTCAAAACGTGTGAAGTCCACGTTTACCTGTTCAGAAACACTCCCTCCCATATGCACTGTGGGAGGCTTTTGTGTTCCATTCTCTGGCTAAGGTGGGGGGGGGGGGGGAGAGGGGAGGGAGCTATGGGAGAAGGAGGGCTGGCCTGCTTATCCCTGCTTCCCAGGCGGAGGATGGAGTTGGGGTGAGGGGTGGGGGAGAGGGGGGGTTTGCAAATGACCTGTCCACATTACTCACTCAGGGAGGAACTAAAATAAATTGGTCTTAGTGAGTTAGCCTGACTTAACTCTCCCATTGTTTTTGTTGTTATGTTTAGGTGGGGTGTCCCATGGGGATTTTGCTGCAGTGACTATTGCCTGAAGTAAGAATCTTTGGGATATCTTTGGGGTCTAGGAGAGAGGACAACACTGCCTGGCCTGTACTGGGGCTGGATTGCCATGACAACTGCCACTGGCTCCTCCCTCGGCCATCGCTCTTTTGGTGGAAAAGACGCTGCCCTGCCCCTCACGCTCTCTTGCCCTGGCTGTGCCGAGGCCGGCCGGCCCTGCCCCACCCTGGTCCTTGCCTCCAGCAGGGTGACGGTGATCATGAACCAGGGCGGGGGGCAGCAGGTGTAGCTGTCGTAGTACCACTTCCGGTCGATCTCCCGGGGCAGGGTCTCGTAGGCCACGTGGCGGATGAGGCGCTGGGAGAGGTTCAGCCCTTTCTCCTCCAGCAGGGCCTTGCTGCAGAGCCGGCGGTTCCCCTGCAGGATGGCCTGGCGGAAGCTGTTGGACCGCTTGTTGCTCATCTGCACAGGTAAGGGGGGGGGGGGGAGGGAGGAAGAGGGGAAGGAAGAGGGAGAGGGGGGCAGGGTCAGAACCAGGATCTCGGGAACCCCGACCCATTTCCCAGACAGCACAATCCTTAGACTTAACCAGGCCTAGATCCCACCTTTCTTATTGTTCTACAATAGCTCACCAGAAGCAATATTCACTGAGCTCTCACACAATCAGGGCTGTTCTAAGCACTACATAATTTGTTGGTTCATTTGCTACCACCAGTCTACCGGTTTCATAAGGCCTATGGCTACCCCCATTTTGCTCGATGTGGAAACCAAAGCACAGAGAGTTTTAAGGACCATCAAGTTCAAATCCCGTAAGCCTCCTGCGCCTGTATTCATCTATTCACAGTACCTTCCTTCCGTCCACCCATCCATCACAATTCCCTGAGCAACTACTACATGTCAGGCACATGGCCAGGCACAGGGATTGAGTGGTGCTCGATGAGTAACCAGCAATCACAATGCAGAGTCAAGGCTGCTGCAAGAGCACACGGGAGGGAGTCCAATCTGGTCTCGAGGTGGTCAGGGAGTCCTTCCTGGAGGAGGCAGTATCTGAGTGAGAGCTGGAGGGTGAGCAGGACTCAGCATCCTCACAAACGTTAGCGTGGGAAGGGTTGGGCAGTCCTGGCTGACTTTCCCAGAACCCAGAGCTGTGCCTGTGGAAGGCCACCACTCCCGAGTTCCTTCAAGTGACTGGCCACAGAACCCTGCCTCGGCGCTGACCCTGCCTTGGCAGCCTGAGGCTGCCCGACACAGCAGAGCCCTGGCTGTTCACCCAGCAGTCAGCCTGGCTCCCAGAGATCAGAGCAGCCTGCTGACTGCCAGCCACGGGGCCTCCGTCGCCTCCCACCTGCCCTCCACGACCACATTCTAGACCTTGACTATGGGGAGATGTCCTAGAGACTGAGTCCTCCCAACCCCAGAGCCCACAGTGCCGCCTGGGTGGCTGATCCACAGAAGCTGGGGTGGGGGTTATCAGCGTATTCCTGGGACAGTGGGCTCAGCGGTGGGCAAGAGGCTAAACCCGGAGGCAGGAGGCCAGAGAGGGCTGGCCAGGAGCACCGGGGAGACCAAGGCACAGGGGTTTGGAGTCCTGTCGGGGGGAAGGTAGCTGCGGGGGAGGATCTGCATTCAGACCAAATGGGATGAGCCTCCCTCTGCAGCCTTTCCCCTCCTGGATTCTGCTGTCTCTCACCTTTAAAATCCGGCTGAAGCTCTAGCCAGTTTGGCTCAGTGGATAGAGCATCAGCCTGCAGACTCAAAGGTCCCGGGTTCGATTCCGGTCAAGGGCATGTGCCTTGGTGGCATGTGCCTTGGTGGCGGGCACATCCCCGGTGGGGGGTGTGCAGGAGGCAGCTGATGGATGTTTCTCTCTCTCATCGATGTTTCTGACTCTCCCTCTCCTCTCCCTTCCTCTCTGTGGAAAAATCAATAAAAAATATACATATTTTTTAAAAATATATATTTTATTGATTTTTTATAGAGAGGAAAGAGAGGGATAGAGAGTCAGAAACATCGATGAGAGAGAATCATCGAACAGCTGCCTCCTGCACACCCCCTACTGGGAATGTGCCCGCAACCAAGTACATGCCCTTGACCGGAATCAAACCCGGGACCTTTCAGTCCGCAGGCTGACGCTCTATCCATTGAGCCAAACAGGTTTTGGCAATAAAATATATTTTTTAAAAATAAAATAAAATCTGGCTTAAAGCCCTAGCAGGCCTTCCCAAAGGAAGCCCTTCCAATGATTCCCTCTTCTCCTCTGCTCCACACCTACAAAGCTTGGGTCTGGTCCTTCCTCCGGGCTCAGGCAGGGCTTGGTGCTCAGGCACACGGTAAGCCCAAGACAGGATCCCAGCATGAGGTACTTTGTAGCCACACTTACCATCCTCTTCTAATCTCTGAGTGTGAATATGCACACTGGCGTGCCCTGCATGCACACTCACAAACACACCCGCAGTCATCCCCTGACGACCCGTGTGGGGTCGGGCTCAGCATTGAGGACAGAAGCACAGTGAGCACATACTCACCACTCACCTGCACGCTTGGTGTGCCTAGCACTGTGCTGGGCGCAGGAGAAACCATGGTCTTGGGCCTCACGGAACTTATAAGGAGAGACAGGTGTATAAACAGCAGCAAAAGAGGGTGTCATCTTCGTTATTTGGTGCCTAGGGTTATCCCCACGCCATAAAGATGGGGACCAGAGCTTGGAGAGTAATTTCTCAGAGACCCATCGTTAGGAACTCAGGGTCAGGATTCACATCCAGATCTGCCTGCCTCTGGAAGCCAGCTAATGGGCACTTTCCTGCCAAGTAGATAGGGATCCTCTCCCTCCAGGTGGATGCACCCCTTCCGGGCCTGGGGAATAAAGCCCATGCCAGATTCCAGTCCCCACTCCCGCCTCTGCCAGGCATCCCGTACAGAACACAACCTGCAGGCCCTCACGTGACAACCTTAGCCTCTCTGCTGTAACGTCATGTGGTCTGTGCTAGAAGAGAAGTCTGGCGCCCTGGCCGGGTAGGTTACTTGGTTGGAGCATCGTCCCCATAAGCTAAGGTTGCGGGTTCAATCCCCAGACAGGGCACATACAAGAATCAACGAATGAATGCATAGATATGTGGAACAGCAGGTCCATGTTTCTCTCTCTTCAATCAATCAATCAATATCAATCAAGAAAGACCTGGTTGCCCTAACCGGTTTGGCTCAGTGAATAGAGCTTCAGCCTATAGACTGAAAGGTCCCAGGTTCGATTCTGGTCAAGGACAAATCCCTAGTAGGAGGTGTGCAGGAGGCAGCTGATGGATGTTTCTCTCTCATCGATGTTTCTAACTCTCTATCCCTTTCCCTTCCTCTCTGTAAAAAATCAATAAAATATATTTTTTTAAAGAGAGAGAGAGAGGGGGGGGGCGGGGAGAGACCTGGCAAAGCACTGCGGGGGTTGGGATGAGGAAGGGCTCACGAAGGTGGCAGAGTTTACCTGCTGGAAGAATACTACAGACAACAAAGTCTTCCATGTATTTCACCTTGTTGAATGCTTGCAACGACCCCAAGGAGGTAAAGTCCAGGCCCAGAAGATCTTCCTCACTGAGTGGCACGGGCAGAGCCAGAAGAGGGACCCAGGTCTGCCTGACTCCAGGCTCTGAGCCCCCTGCTCTCCCCAGGGCTTCCCTGCTGGTGACCTCCTCTTAGTCCTGGTCCCCAGGGCAGCCCCGCTCACATGAATCCAGGCTCCAGCTGGCCGCTCCAGCTCCGAACTGACAGAAATCCCCACAGCGACAAGTCCCCTGCAGCTGGGAGTTCACAGAGGACCCCGCGGGCCCTTGCTGGAGAGAAGCACCTGCCGTTCATGTAGAGTCTACTGATATTCCAGCTGGGCCCTCCCGCTGCCCGGGCCTGAGCAGGGGCTGTGCAGACGTGCTTGCACTGGGCAGTGGAGGAGCCTGTGCCGGCTCAAGCCCGTGGCCTGGTCTTCGGTGTCCCAGCTGGACTCAGTCCCAGGGCTCACCGCCCCCGCCTGCCCCATAAATCCCGGCGGCCCCTCCCCCTGTAGCCCAGCTCTGACCCATGCCCTCTATAAGGCCTGCTCCCTGGGTCCATTCTGAACAGCAGGAGAACCCCAAAGCCCGACTGCTGCTCCCTGAAACCACTGGGCAAAGGCAGGCCCTCTGCCGAGAGGCAATTCAAGCAAGTCCGAAGCCGGGCACCCACATCGAGAGCCCACCTGGCACAGGACTGGCTCCCCCAGCACTGACACCAGCGGGTGACAGAGAGAGGACACAGTCTCACCCCTCCCTGCGTGACAGAAGAGAGGTGACTGTCCCCACCCATTTCAATAGGGAAACCAAGGTCAGACTCCAGCCTTGGATTCATCCTGATGGTTCATGTAGAGCCTACTGATATTCCAACCATCCCGTGGCAGGTAACATGCTTCCTGCTTAATCACACTGAACCCCATTTCAATCTCACCCCAGTAGGAACAGAGCAGTGACCCGCCGTGAGTCCTTACTCTTAGTCAGAGCAGTGGGCAGGATTCGTGGGCTCCCTGTCCCCAGTCCCCGCAACAAGCCAAGGTGTCTGCCAGCGGGTCTGATGAGCTCCTGTGCCCCACTGTTCCTGGAGAGCTCTGGCCTGACCCTCCCCACACCTGCTCCCCAGCTTCTCTCCTGCCAATGGCCTCCTGCCTCCCTCTCCCAGCACTTGGTTTCGGTGGCATGGAGCCCTCGTCCAGCCCCAGAGGTGGGCCCTGATTGGCTGGAGTCAGTCAACACATCCCCACTGACCCAGTCTGGGCCAGTGGAAGGGAGGAAATAAATCCCTTCTGTGGGAGCTATCACCAGGCGTCCCTCTCCTCTCCTGCATGGTGAGGCTGAGGGTGTGAGGGCTGGAACGCTGGCAGCCACTTCGCTGCCACAACAGGAGGGGCTGGAATTGCCAGTGGCTTCTCAGAGGATGAGAAGGCGGAGCTGAGAGGCAAAGAGAAACCAGGTCCTTGATACCCGGCTGAAGCCTGGACTCTTTCAAGGCTCTGGGCCAGGAGATCCCTTTCATTGTCCAAAAGGGTCGGCTAAACCACAACCCCTGGACAGGCCCCTCCCAACAGCAAGGGCCCCAGAGCGCTCACCAGGTTGGCAAAGTCCTGGTAGCAGATCTGCCCATCGGCGTGGCTGTCGGCCAGGGCCAGGAGCACCTCCCGTTTGTGCGGGTCCAGCTGGGCGCTGTGGCTCTCCAAGAGGCTGCGGAACTTGCCGGAGCTGATGTAGCCGGTGTTCCCGGGGTCACACTACAGGAGAAGCACAGACAAGCCAAGGGGAGGGGCGTGTGAGTGGGCTCTCGCCCCCTCTCGGCTCTATCTTCATCAACACGAGGCCGGGGCGGTGCTGGGATGTCTCCCAGGCCCCCGAGGGAAACATCCAAACAAAGCGTGGACAGTCGTCACGTAAAATCCTGGAAGGCCCTGGAGACCTTCGAGGTCCACTAACCCGAGTGTCTGGTGTGTGGATAAGGAATCTGAGGCTCAGAGAGGTTAAATCTCCTTCTTTCTGCCTTACGTCTGACTCTAGGCAAGAGGAAAGCAGGAATGAAAAGAAGACGAGCAGAGGAAGAGGAGGAATTTCTGGGGCCCGGGCCAGAGGGACTCCCGTGGGGAATGCTGAGGCCTAGGAGCAGGGAGCACAGCCTGCCAATCCTGCGTGTGGCTGCTGGCTCCCTCCATGTCAAACTACCCCTCCCCCTACTTCTTCTCTCCCCCCCCCTCCACCCCACAGGCCAGAGCAGGGCTCCCCAAAGACACTAGGCTCCCTGTGCTCTGTCTGTTTGTTGGCATCACCCTTTTGCCCTCTGTAGCACAGGGATCCCTCCGCCCAGGATTCCTTGCTCCCTCATCTCCCTGAGAGCCTCCGCCTCACCCTTCCCAGCTCATTGGACGTCCCCGCTCCATACAGGCTCCTCTTAGACATGTCTGCCCCTCGGACAGACCTCCAGCCCCCGCCCCGCACAGCTCTGTAATCATCTACTTTCAACTCCTTAGTGGTCCCCCCACAGCAGCATCACCACAGATCCCCTTGCTTAGCATCAAGCCCGTGGAGGCACTTAATAAAGTTTTGTTTAGTGAATGCACAGGGGAGCCCCGGATGAAGAGGTGGGTGCTAATTTTCCAAGGACGGTCTCATCAGTTCAGTTAGAAAAGGATTTTATTCATCTCTCCTGGAGAAATCCACAACCTGTCTGCCCCTCTTCCACAGCCCCCCTTTCCTCGAAGAACCCATCCAGTGTCCCCCCAGATGCCCCCCCCCCCCTAGCACCCACCCTGCTAGGAACTGAGGCCAAGCCTGCTGAGAGCTTGCCTGCTCACAAGCACTTCCCCACACGAGCTCACTGCATCCTGGAGATGCTGCATGGGTTACTGAGGTTGTTGAAGGCAATCAGACTCTGCAATGTGTGTGTGGAGAGAGAGAGAGAGAGAGAGAGAGAGAGAGAGAGAGAGAGAGAGAGAGAGAGAGAGAGAGAGAGAACACCCAGAAGACCAGATCCATGTTTCTCCCTTTTCTAGATAAGGTCAATGGAGACCATCTTAGGGAGGCTGGTTCTCGGGGCAGCATTTCTCAGGCAATCCAGGAGGAACAGCCAAGAGCCACAGACATGGGCTAGTTCAGTCCCCCCAGAACTCAGCGAGAGGATCTGCCTGAGGAGGCCTACCTAACGGCGTGGGTCCCCACCCTCAGCCCCAAACACCAGCTTTCAGAGCTGACACCAAAGTGGTTCACACGATAGAGCATGTCAGAAAACTCCGCTACCCCAGCCCCGTAAAGACCTTTAAGAATAAAAATATCTAGCCGAAACCGGTTTGGCTCAGTGGATAGAGCGTCGGCCTGCAGACTGAAAGGTCCCAGGTTTGATTCCAGTCAAGGGCATGTACATTGGTTGCGGGCACATGCCCAGTAGGGGGTGTGCAGGAGGCAGCTGGTCGATGTTTCTCTCTCACTGATGTTTCTAGCTCTCTCTTCCTCTCTGTAAAAAATCAATAAAATATATTAAAAATATATATATATTGGTCCCATCTGTAACTGCGAAATGAGACAACAAAAGAGATCACAAATGAAAGAAATGGAGGACAAAAAGCGTCTGGATATAGAGTTCAAATCTACGCTTACAAGGTTTTTCAAGAATTTCCTAGAAAAGATGGATAAGGCCTATGAGGATATGAAAAGAGATCAACTAGAATTAATAAGGAGTCAACAAGAAATAAAGAATACATTGTCTGAAATAAAAAATATTTTACAGAGTCCTAAAAACAGAAGGGAAGATCGCAAGATTCAAGTCAAAGATTTGGAACATAAAGAGCCAGAAGACACTCCTCCACAGAAGCTAGAAGGCAAGAGAATCCAGAAAATTGAAGATAATGTAAGAAACCTCTGGGACAACTTCAAGCGAACCAACATCAGAATTATGGGGGTCCCAGAAGATGAGAGAGAGCAAGATATCGAAAACATACTGAAAGAAATAGTGATAGAAAACTTCCCCCATCTGGTGAAAGAATTAGACTTACAAGTCCAGGAAGTGCACAGAACTCCAAACAAAAGGAATCCAAAGAGGACCACACCGAGACACATCATTATTAAAATTCCAAGAGCAAAAGACAAAGAGAGAATATTAAAAGAAGCAAGAGCAAAGAAGGTAGTAACCTATAAAGGAGCACCTATACGATTGTCAGCTGACTTCTCAACAGAAACCATGCAGGCCAGAAGGGAATGGCAAGAAATATTCAAGGTGATGAATAGTGAGAACCTACAGCCAAAAATAATCTACCCAGCAAAGCTATCACTCAGAATCGAAGGCCAGATAAAGAGCTTCACTAATAAAAAAAAGCTAATGGAGTTCATCACCGCCAAACCAGAATTATATGAATTGCTGAAGGGGGTTCTTTCAGAAGAGAAGGTAAACAAAGATAAAAATTATGAACAACAAATACGTAACTATCAACAAGTGAATCTAAAAACCAAGGAAATTAAAAAAAAATCTGATGAACAATATTAACTGTTGAATATAATAGAATCAGAGGTATGGAAGGGGAGTGAACTGACGATTCTTGGGGAAAAGGGGAGAGGGGGGCGTGGGAAGAGACTGAACATAAACTGTGCACCTATGGATGAGGACAATGGGGAGAGGGGAAAGGGCAGAGGGTGGGGTGGGAACCTGGTGGAGGAGAGCAATGGTGGGGGGGGAAAAAAAGGAACATTTGTAATAATATGAACAATAAAAACTTATTAAAAAAAAAAAAAAAAAAAAAAAAAAGTAGCTGCCACTTAAAAAAAAAAAAAAAAAAAAAAAAATATATATATATATATATATTTCTAGGTCCTGGCCACATCACTCAATAGGTTAGACTGAATGCCGAGGTGGCGGGTCCAGTCTCCTGGTCAGGGCACATTCAACAAACAACCAATGAATGTCTAAGTGAGTGGAACAACAAATAGATGCTTTTCTCTCTAAAATCAATCTAAAAGAAAAGAGTACACATACTTACTATGTGTTGAGTGATTCCATGGGGTCAAATGCAGTTGTAAGCACGTTATACATATATAATTTCTTGGACTTCCTACAACAACTGTATAAAATGGGTCCTCCCATTATCCCCGTATTACAGATGAGGGAACAGAGGCACAGGGAAATGAGCACAGGGCCAGCAGCCAGCAGGGCCAGGGGTCCACACCCAGGCAGCTTAGTGCTGCCTCTATTCACCACTGGCCGCCAATGACCTTCAACCCCCCCAACTCCACCCCACCATCCCCAGAGCTGCCCTGCTGCTCAGAAGCAAAATTAAGGATCATAGAGGTGAGCGCTGAACGAGGAGGGAGGGGCCCTAGGAGTCTCACAGGTCCGCTCTAAACAGACTTTTAAGGCAGGAAGGAGCCTCAAAAAGCAACAGGCCTGCCAGCCTGGCGTGGCTCAGTGCTTGAGCATGGGCCTATGAACCAGGAGGCCATGGTTCGATTCCAGGTGAGGGCACATGCCTGGGCTGTGGGCTTGATCCCTGGGGGTGAGGGTGGGGGTGGGGGTGGGAGGATGTGGAGGAGGCAGCTGATTAATGATTCTCTCATCATTGATGTTTCTCTTTCTCTCTCTCTCTCTCTCCCTCGCCCTTCCTCTCTGAAATCAATAACAAAATATATTTTTTTAAAAATTAACAGTTCTGCAGAAACTGGTTTGGCTCAATGGATAGAGCGTCGGCTTGGGGACTGAAAGGTCCCGAGTTTGATTCTGGTCAAGGGCATGTACATTGGTTGCGGGCATATCCCCAGTAGGGGGTGTGCAAGAGGCAGCTGGTCGATGCTTCTCTCTCATCGACGTTCCTAGCACTCTATCTCTCTCCCTTCCTCTCTGTAAAATATCAATAAAATATATTAAAAAAAAAAAATTAACAGTTCTGACTTTCGTATTGCTCAGGCAGGAAAGTAAAGCTTGGAGAGGCAAAGTGGCAGTGTGGCCAGGGAGGGCCTCCTTGGCCAGCCTGGGGTCTCACTGGCCGGCCCGGTCTGGCTCCACATGGCTCCCAAGCGGGATGGGCTGATGGGGGGTGGGGGGTGGAGGGAGGCAGTGGGATGGAGCGGCTGAGGTCAGACAAGGGCTTTTCTTCTTCATTCCAGCTCCAGACAAAGGACCACCTGCTCCCTCCTCTCCCCCCTCCAGGGAGGGCTCCCTGCTGTTGTCCTAGTGACAGGGGCTGCCCTAGGGCTCCCCAAGCCCCCGCCCCCCACGAGGCCTGCCAGGCCTGCCCCAAGCACATTACAGGCTCCAGACTGCAGAGGATGAGCTGGAATCAGGCCCAGCCTCCCTTCTCTGCCAAAACCCTACCTTTCAGTGCCAGGGCCAGACAGGCCAGACAATGGGGTCATCACTAACCTAATAATGAGGCCTCAGGGATGCAGGGGGCTGACTAGTGGGGAGGGAGAGGCAAGGGTGGGGTGGCTGCCTGGGCCCCACAAATGTACATAGAGCACCTTCCAATTCCCCTCTCTCCCCCTCCTTACCAAGAACCAGAGACGACGAGAACAAGAGCAGAGACTGACCATGGGCATGGGGCACAGGGCAGGTGGGAGGCAGAGAGAGGGAGACGAAGGGAGGAGAGGCACAGAGAAAGCCTGGGAGAGGATGTGTAAAGGAAGGAGGTGGGTCCCGTTGCCCAGGAAGGCAGCTCAGAGCTTCTTAAGAGGCTGCAAGGAGCAAAGCAAAATCTCACTCTTGTCGCTGCCACTAACCGCTTTGTGTGCTTTCGGGTAGCCT